CTGGGCACGGAGAGAAGCTGGGAGAGGAGAGGAGCTGGGCATGGAGAGGAGTTGGGCACTGAGCAGAGTTGGGCACAGAGCAGAGCCGGGTACAGAGACGAGCTGGGCACGGAGAGGAGCTGTGCGCTGGGGCAGGGCAGCGGGAGGCGAAGGGGCTTTGCTGTCACATCTCCCGGCACAGACAGGCTGTGCCACCTCCCGGCACTGGCAGCTTGGGTTCCACGGCCACGCCAGCAGCTGAGAATAGCTCAGTTCCAGGAAGGGTCGGGTTAAATCTCTGGCCTCGCCCCTGGCGCTCTCCGGCCAGGTAGGCACCGCAGCGTGTCCCTTTGGCACTCTGCAGGGAGGGCTGGGGTTCACCTCCCCATCCTGCTCTCTGCTCCTCAGCCCTTCTCCCTGCCCTCGCCTGGCTGGGCTTTATTTACGCTCGGGAAATCCTGGCCACGGTTTTGAGATGCTCTTGCTCTTTCTCCCTCGGGAGGGAGATGACACTTTCATCTCTCCTGGCTCATGCTGTACCCTGGACCTCCTGCTTGCAGAGAAAGGGCACAGGGGAGCATCGCTCACTGCCAAGTGGGAATATTTTCAGGGCTGAGCGTGGTACAAGGGAAGAGCCGTGAATATCAGCTGAAGCTCTGAGGACATTTCTCTCCAACACTGGTTTTGTTAAAAGTATGAGAGATTCCTCCGTGGTTGTTAGTAATTCCAAGAGGGACAGCATCACCTAGTGGAGGAAGGCTCAGAACACAGAGGCCCTTCCAACCTGAGCTGGATGACACAGAAGTTTGGGATTTAGGAACAGGAGCTGTAGGTGGGAGGTGGAAAGTTGGTTCTTATATTTCCCTCACCTAAACTCCCATTCTCTATTTCCTCTACCCTGTGGCACAGGTTAAATGAGGCACTCAGGGCGTCAGCAGACAAGGGGCTGATCAGGGCGTGCCTGGGGCACCGTCTGAGGTTTTTAAAGCAAAGCTGTTACAGCAAATTTATTCACAGAAGAGAGTTATTGATGAAGGAATTGTGCCCTGGGGTCTGGGTGCCTCTGCAGGTCTGGCCCTGGGCAGGGCAGGTGTTCTCACCACTGGAGTAACTGCTCAGGGCACTGAAGTGTGCAGAGAGGAAAAGATGCCCAAACTCAGGAGCCACAATGAAACAGGATTATGTAGGGCAGAAATCAAGTTGGCAGTGACATGGGAAAAGGGGAAGCAGCAGGGACATATGTGCTGTCATGTAGAATACAATGTGCTTCTCAGGCTGAGAGTTAGTTACAACATGTTTGACCTGGTTTTGAGAAGAGGGGAGAGGTTTCCCTTGCCACATCTGTCCCAGTTCCTAAAAAAAAACTGGCTGTGATCAGCCTGCAGACAGCTCAGAATAGCTGCAGCCTACACACTGCCTGCTAATGCTCCCTCCTCTAAGGGAGGCAACCAAAACAAGAGCTGCTGGAAGGCTGATGTGGCAGCAGAGGGGATAGGGACCCTGCTGATTCTGCTCCAAACGGTGCTGCTTTGACTACAATCCACAACCTGCCTGAATGCTGCAAGGAAGGACAGTGCTGTGGTACACAGGGCTTGGCACAGAGTGCCCTGGGGACCCTGCAGACAGCAGAGGAGGAAGATGCAAGAGCCAAGTGAGAACCACCACAAGACAGAGCAGCTCTGCCTTGAGTTAGGCCCTGACCCCCCAGATTTTGCCTGGCAAGGGCTGTCAGAGCCCCAGCACTGAGTCCTTTGGCACAGGCTCGTGCCTGCCCTGCCTTCCCCTAAGCTGCCTTTGACTTCCAGCTCTACCAGGTCTGGTTAATCATTACTGACCATTTTGAAGGTCTCTGTGCCTGCATTCATGCTCTTTCTGATTTCCCCTTGCAGTGCCAAAGGCATTTCTGCACACACTGTGCTGCTCCTCCACCCACTGCAGCTCCCTCAGAGCTGGCACAGGCACAGCTCTGCCTCGGGCACTGCCTGTGGCAGGACCAACTGCTGAATGCACACCATGTGGGGGTATAATGTTCCTTGGAGACCAAATGGTCACCCTGCAGCCCCACTCAGAGGGTTGGCTGCCCACTGCAGCTGCTGCCTGTGCTGCAGCAGAGGCACAGAGCCCCGTGAGCCCCTTTTGGTCCTTGGCCAGCTCTACATGGACATGTGTGTGCACAGGAGGAGCCACACAAGGGCTGGCACCTGCTCTCTGTCCCTCTGACCCTGATCCACTGGTGACATTTCCATCATGCATCTGTCCCAGCGTGTGACAGGGCTCTCCCCTGCCAGCCCCAGCCTGCAGAGCTCAGCTCCAGGCTCTGTTGTTACAGCTGGAATGAGTTTGGCCTCTGTTCATTCCATGGCTGGAACATAGCTGTGTTTGGCTTCTCTCTTTCTGGTCACACAGGTACAGCTGAGATTAGGGTTTGGCTTGGCTAATAATAAGTGCATAGCTTGTTTGGTTTGATTGTGTTCTGAGTGGGAAAGTGAGAACAGGAAACCTGTCTGAAACATCAGATTAGCACAAGCTCTGCACACAGCAGCTCCCTGGGCAAGGGGGACAAAGCACAGGGAATGGGGTGTCAGAGCATCTGACCCTGAGAGAAGCACTTTGTGCTGGTTGGGATCATGCTCTGCACCTTGCATCTCTGAGCTGTGCAAATGGAGCTGCAAAGCTGCATTGAGACCTGTTCTCATCCCTTCTGATGAACCTTGCACAGCCAGGCAGGGCTGGAGGAGACTGGGGGTGGCTGTGGGCTGTGGTGTTGTGCCACAGAAGGAAACACATCCCCACATCTCCCCTTTGGACCTCCTCCCTGCAAGAGTCACTTGGGCTCTGGCTTGGCTCAGTAGCTCTTTGCTGAGGCTTTTTTTGGTCCTGTTTCATTCCACACAGACTCAGGGTGTGGGTTTGGGTTTGTGCATGGTGGGAGTACAGGCTGAGGGTTATCAGGGCTGACATCTCTCTCTCATTTCAGGAAGTGTCCTTCACCTTTTAAGAGAAAGAAAGTAAAGCAAGGTAAGGATTGGTGAAAATGGTTAGAGGACAGGAGGAGGTGGAGTGAAAGCCCCTGGGGAGCTGACATCACTCAGTGCTGGCTCTGGATGGCATCCCTGAGGCTGAGGTCCCTCCCACACCCTTTTCTACCTAACCTTCCTCGAGAGAAGCTTGGTAGAAGCAAGAGGCAAGATTTCTTGGGGTGTGATGTGCCATGGGACTTGGCAGGGGGGAGGGAAGAGACTTCAGTCTCTTTAAAGTACCAAAGCCTCACATCAAAACACGTGAGGTCTCAAGTGGCAGCAAAGCAGAAACTGCACCAAAACACGTGAGGACTCAAGTGGCAGCAAAGCAGAAACTGCACCAAACTCCCGTGAGAGCTGCAAACATCTGTCTGACAACAGAATAAAGTACATTCCGTAAGTGGCTCAGTTGTGTCCTGTGGCCTTTGGAACATGCTGGGCAAAGTATGTTTGCTAGGCAGCAAAGGAAATGACAAAGCTAAAACTAGATCTGCTTTCTCCAAGAGGCTGACAAGGAAGCTCTCTGTGCTGTGTGTGTACTCCTGGGCTCTGCCAAGAACACTGTGGTTCACAGCGTGTTGTCATCCTGGGAAACCTTATTTTTCCCAAAGAAACAAGCCCAGGCTTTCTTCTTGGAGGCAGATCTCAGGGACAGCCTTGGGGCTGAGGGTGTCAGATGAGGTGGAATGGGATTTGTGCCCAGTGGGGAGAGCCCATGGCCCAAACACTGTGTTTGCTGCACCCAAAGGTGGCACAATGAACAGCTGTGATAGCCTGATCTGCTGCTGTTTCTTTTTCAGGAGCTAATGTGAGGCACAAGAGTGGACAGCAGCAGCCTGCCAGGAAGGTAAACTACTTCCCAGAGCTTCTTCCTAGCTGTGTGCTGAGAAGACAGAGCTGACCTGCCCTGCCTGGGCTGGATGGGCTGGGAGGGCACAAAGCAGCTTACTCAGAGTCATGAATCATCTCACCCTGGCCAGGCACAGTGTGCATTGCTGCACAGTGGTGCAGACCCAATTTTCCCCCCTGAAGTGCAGTGGAAGCAGCAGAATCAAACCTCAGTCTCAGCTGAGGGACCAGAGGGTCAGATGGTGTTGGGGGGAATGGGCACAGTCTGGGCAGGGCAGGTGTAGAGGCAACCCAAGGAGCTGAATCTCCAGAGCTTTCTCTCCACACAGGTTCCAGCCCATAAAGATGTCCCTGAGGTTCCTGTCTATGCCACTGTGAGCAAAGCCAAGAGTGTGGGGCAGGAGGACAGTGTCCACTACGCAGACATCCAGGTGTTCTCCAAGGCACGGCAGCGCTCGGCAGCAGAGGTGAAGAACCTACAGATGCAGAATGCCACGGAGTATGCCACCCTCAACTTCACCAGGGCCAGGCTGAAGTATGACAGCAAGAATGGCACCTTGGTGTAAAGGGCTTCTCCTCCTTCAGGAGTTCACAGATTCAGACACGCTGTAGGTGCAAAATAACCTCATCAAACCTCTCTGAGAAAGTGCAGAGAGGCTGTGTCTTCCTCCACAGACATTCTCACGTGATGAGTAGCCTCCCAAGTGATTCTGCTGACACAAAACACCTCTCACCCTTGGAAGAGTTGCCTCTGAAGTTGGCAGCACACCTCCTCTGAGCACTGTGAGATGGCAGAGCTGCTCCTTGGCTGCTGAAGGCTAAAGCCACAGCTCCAAGCTGCAGGGAGAAGGTCCCTGCTGTGGCACAGCAGCAGCTGATGTTGCTCTGCTGCTGGAGTTGGGAATGTGGCACACAGAGGTCAGGACTGGGACAAGGGAGATTTTGGCACAGGATTTTATGTGGATGTTAAGAGAACTCTGTATGTGCAGAATGACACGTGGATGATGCTGTGAAGAAATGGTGACAGCATCTCCTGCAAAGCCTTCTCCCAATACCTGCCACTGTGTGTGCATCCCCTCCCCTCAAACAGTGCTCTGTCACCATGCACAGCACTCCCAAACCAAGGCCAGAAATGCAGGATTAAGGAGAGGTACAGAACAATTCCCTTTGCTGAGGGGCTGTACATCCACACCCTTCCCTGCAGACATGTGAGTAGTGAGCTCCTAGCTCTGACTGGAAACAAGGAGAATTGGCAATTTAGCTGGGATGAAGCCACTTAAAAAGCACTGCCTCTATTTAGAGCAGTTACATAGAAGGGTCCAGCAGCTGCCTGCATGCCTGGGATCCTGGGCAGGGATCCTGGGCAGGGATCCTGGGCAGCCTGAGAGAGAACTTTGGAGTTTGGCTCCATTCTGGGTTTGTACTGTCAGCACACACCACGTTGTGTTATCTCCTAACCCTCCCAGACACACCTCTGGGAACCTGTGGTTATAGATAGTGTTAGCACTCAGCACAGCACTTGTCCCAAAGGCTTCTGCCAGGGGTTTGGCAGCACTGGCAGTGGCACAGGGACCCCAAGCACTACCTTCAGGCACATTCTGTTCCCAAGTCATGGTCTGCAGGGCTCAGTGCAGATCCTGGCACAACCTGCTTATTGCCAGTGGTTAAAGTTGGCCATTCTGGTGTCTTTTATAAACAAACAGAACTTTGCATACTGTAACTCAGCTGAATGTTAAAAGCATGAAGGAATTCCTGCTCACTGCAAGAAATAAAGCTGGTACGGGCAGTGTTTGCTGAGGTGGAAGTGTTTGAGGACCAATCTTACCATTTTTCTCCCTTTTGGCCCATGCTGTGTAATAGACCTCAGCAGAGTTGTTGTAAGAGCAGAGGAATCTTTGCAAAAAGCCCTTTTTATATGGAATACAATATATTTTTCACTTTTGGCCCATGCTGTGCAGTAGATCTCAGCAGAGTTGTTATAAGGGCAGAGGAATCTTTGCAGAAAGCCCTTTTTTATATGGAATACAATATATTTTTCTACCTGAAAAAGGGGGTTTTTTTGCCTATGCTGCCTGACTGACCTCAGAGGGGCCATTGTAACCTCTGCCCTTTGTTCATAATGGGTACAGGATGGTGTTACTGGTTCTTTTGAGCTCCTCCTTCTGCTCCTCAAATTTGGTACTCCATGCCCAGCATGAAAACCTATGGACTGAGAAGGATTGAATGGGCAGAAGATTTACTGACAGGAGTTTGGGGGAGCACTCCAGCACTCAGTTCTGCCAGCTCAGAGTCAGACAGGCATGTCCCTCCTTGCTCTGACCCCTGGTGTGTGGGGCACTCCAGCACTCAGTTCTGCCAGCCCAGAGTCAGGCAGGTATGTCCCTCCTTGCTCTGACCCCTGGTGCAACTGGAAAGGGACTGGAAAGGCTCCAGTTTTAGCCAAGGCCTTTGCATCATAGGATGAAACTGGAATTTTTAGAAGCATTACTAATTCTGGGCTACAGTTCAGGAGATGGGAGGTGCAAGACTCCACAGAGCATTTTTTAGAGCAACTGAAGTGAAACAGCCCATGATTCCACACTCTATGGTACTCAATTTCTCCTTCCCCAGCAGCAGAGCTGGACCTGGGGACAGCAACCTGCAGGGACACTAAGGGCAAGGTCCTGGGCCCACAGTGGGGTAAATCTGCACATCCATCATGTCAAACCAGTTCTGCTGTGGAACCTGCTTCACTTATGTCACTCAGTTGTGTTGGTCTGTGGCTCAGCCCTGTTGGATTATGAATGAGTGGAAGCTACAGACGTGTCTTGATGAGTGCCTGGAATGGTTGTTCATCTCCCATTCTCCAAGGAGCTCTGACTTCCATACCAACCGTGGGGTCGTTTCTGGAAGTACAACATCCCTTAGAGACAACCCAGTGCTCCCACTCAGGGGCAGCACAGTGACTCTACCTGTTCCCCAGGCTCGGAAAAGGTGGATGTGAAACCCACGTGTTCTCCAACGAGGATTCTCCTGCAGGACTCAGTTTTGCACTGAACATTAAACTCTTTTTCCAAATTTATCTCCTGTATCTCCACGTTTAGGTGTTAAACGAGTGTTGATGTCTCATTAAAGATGTAAAGTTCAGTTGTAAGTGCTGAATCTCCGGGGTACCCAAGGGGTGAGGGATGGTCCTCGCCTGCTCCTGGTCCCATTCCCGGCTCCTGGTCCCATTCCCGGCCCCTTTCCCGGCCCCCGGTCCAGCCGCGGGCGGAGCAATCCCGCCCCGTCCCTCCCCCGT